GAGATGGGAATTTGACATTCGAAATTCATGAAAATCATTATAAGATTTATCAAATGCCGATGATCACTGGAATTAAATTATTCGAACTAACACATTATGGAGAATGGTAGATTGACTCTTTGCATCTATATATAGTGACTATTGCACAAAATGATAATCGTAGAGAAAACCTACATATGCCAAGACATGACATCTGTGACATTTTAGCATATTTTCAGGTATATTATAAGAGAAAACACAGAATCCACATGGTCATGTGCTTCAATAATGACGCAGAAACAAACAGTTGGTGTCCCCTATTTTTGTCATAGAATTTAATGAAAAATCTTGGTATAACAAATATTATTAACCTTAATTGAATAGTAATGGCTGTCACGAGTGATTCTATACTTGTCTTCCCTGCTGGTTAAGTATATTTTGCTGCTTAACTAAAAACAAACCAGTTGAGTAGCACACACCCGCAAGGTATGTATATTATCCTATAGGATATGAGAGAAAACAAGATATTTACTTGAATGTATGAGGCGATAGGGAGTGAGGACCAAGTAGGTTGAGAGAAGACTTGGATTTATCCAAGTAGGTTATTAAATTCTGTGAAATTAACGAAACACATATTTAACAAGGTGGATTGAAATATTCTATAATTCTAAAGAAGAAGAAACGATTTAAAAGTTCAATTATATATGAATGATAAATAATAAATTATGCCAGAAAAAAAAAACTAATGGCAGTGCCTTTTCCCTAGCTAACACTGGGTTACTTTTATTCTTTTTCCTTTTTTTATTTCAAACATACACAGAGAAATTTACTTTCCTTCTGCCATAGTTTTATCTTGGTTTTGAATTTTACTTGAGATTTCTTATAATATTCAACTAGAGGGTTCAAGTAATCCAGGAGCAGTGAAAAGACATTTCCGCATACCTCGATCTGTGACTAGTTAGAGATTTTTGTTTCCACAGCCAAAATCAAGTGTTGAAGGATCGATACCACCACTCTCATCCAACCCTTCGTTTAAAAAATAATAACAAAATAAAAAATTATCGAATCTCGAAATCAGGAATGTATCCCATGTGTCCCTTCACAATAATCCAATTGAATTTCGGTGTTAAAAAAAAAAAAAAAAGACACTAAATATTGCTACATATTTACTGTCTATGACCATCATCCTTCATTATGGATAAAATGCAAAATAATAATAATAATAATAATAATAATAATAATAATAATAATAATAATAATCACTATCATCGTCTTTACACCAACGTGAAAGAGTGACATCAAAGAGTGACATCAATAAATAATCAATAAGTATCAAATTCCAAATTGACAACTCATCTAATAATGCCCAAAAGTACATAATAATAATAATAATAATAATAATAATAATAATAATCTTTACACCAACATGAAAGCGTGACACCAATAAATAATCAATAAGTCAAATTCCAAATTGACAACTCCTCTAATAATGCCGACAAGTACAACAACAATAATAATCTTTACACCAACGTGAAAGAGTGACACCAATAAATAATCAAAGTATCAAATTCCAAATTGACAACTCCTCTAATAATGCAGAAAATTACAAATTGTCTATGTCCATTAAGCCCATCTTCCTAGCTACGAAGCCAGCTAATTGACTTAGTTATTTTCCACTTCCAATCACCTCACATGAATCTTCTTATGTTTTTTCTCTAATTTCTCTTAGAAGAAAAAGCCGTTTTTTGTAATTCCGCCGCTTCGAATTTCCAATATCACAATCCAAAAACACATTTATACATCTTGTGTGTGAAAGTACATGCTTTGTTTCCCCCTTCAACAGGTCTTCCAAGGTTGTTGCTTCAACTATCCTTTTTCTCCTCTTCAACGTCTTCTTCAAAATGATCATGTGGCGGCCACGGCTACAGTCACTACTCCCACCCACCGTCAAAGGCTAAGTGCCCTAAAGACACTCTAAAGTTAGGAGTTCTTACCAACTTCCTAAATGGCATACTAAATCCCACCCACCATCAAAGGTAAAGACGAATCCAGAATCGGATTTCAAGGTTGTTGCTTCAACTACCCTTTTTCACCTCTTCTTCAAAA